ATGCATGCATTGATTTGAAAATGATTTTTATTACCATTTATTACCATCATATTTGCAAATGGTCATTAACCAAAGTAGTCACTAAACAAGGCGTGGCTGTACTGCAACACACTATACATGGGGCTGCCTTGGAAGAGCGTTCAAAAGCTATAGCTGGTCCAGAATGCAGTGGCATGAGCAGTAGTGGGTGCCTCACTGTATACCTACAAAACGTTACTGCTGCGTGAGCTGCCCTGGCTTCCAGTAGGCTTCCCGCTGCAATTTAAGTTGCTGTTCATCACCTTTAAAGCCCGACATGGCATGGGACTAGGTTATTTGCAGGACCACCTATCCCCACCCCAGTAGATCTGGCAGAGTGGGCATATTCCGAGTTTTCTCACTTGGTGGGGTCTCAGAACAGTGCCTTCTCTGTCATTGTGCCTGCCTTACAGAACAATCACCATTTAAAATACAGATAGTTCTGATCCGTTGGCCTTCAGAAAAACAGTGAAGACCTGGCTTTCCCTCTAGGCACTAGGGCTAAAATGCTGATAGAGTTGGCATAGTGTGGTTAATTGATGGATGCAAGTTTTATTGGGGCTTCAACATCATTTTAATTATATTGTCTTTTTTATTCTTTTTCACTGCCTAGAGTTGATTCAGTACATGGGTGGCTATATATGTTAAATAAATAAGTAAATGAATAAATAAATAAATGGGATTGAATTTCATGAAGAATCTAAATACAGCATAGCAGGCTAGACTGTATGAACCAACTGATTATTCATCTGAACTGCTAGGACTGAACCATGAACCTTTGTTATTTCATAAACTCAATATTTTCCTTCTTGTGCACTAATCTTTCAACTTTCTAGAGATTCTTTCCTAAACTAAGGGAAGGAAATCTATCAAATGTTATTGTGTTCAGTTCTCATTTTCTCAAACTCATTTTCCCAAAGTTTGCTCCATCTCATTTCTGTTCAAATTATTAAGCATGCACAAACATTTGTACATATTTCATGAGAATTCCTTCTAATATGCACATTTATGCACTTTTTAAAATATAGATATTTGAAATAAAATCATCAATTAATCTAGTTATATAGACACTCATCAAACATCAGCAAATAATAGCAATACATTTTATTAAACTACATAATTGGAAAGTGTAAAAACATAAACTAAAACAGAAATATATAAACATATAAAGTCCCAGGAAAAAAACACATCCAGTGGGTTATTCCACTTCTAGACCCAATGCCTGAAGAAAGAACCAAGTCTTTAATACCTTCCAAAAGGCAAGCAGGGTTGGAGACAGCTGGATCTTGAGAGGAATGCTGTCCTAAAGGGCAAGAGCAAGAACAGGGAAGGCATATCTCCTGGGTCCACCAGATGACATCGCCTAAACAACAGGACCTAGAGCATGCCGATCCTGTCAGATCTTACTGGACAGACAGAAATAATTGGAATTTTGCAAGTAGCAAAATTGCAACTAGCATGGCCCTGCCCCATGAAGGGCTTCATATGCACCTTGAACTGAACAAGGAAGCAAACTGGCAATCACTGCAGATCACAAAATAGAGGTGTTAACATGGGCATGCTGAGTTATGCCCATAACTATCCATGGAGCTCCATGCTGTACCAGGTAAAGCAGAAACTCTTGTAGAGCATCCTCTTGTAGAGCACACTGCATTAATTGAACAATGTGACAAGGGATGTGACAAGGAAATCCTGATCCAGGACAGGCACAATTGGTGCACAAGTATAAAGGCTCTCTGAGCTATGGGTGCCACCTGCTTTTTGAACAGGAGGTGTGAGTCTTGGAGGGCTCCAAATTGTGTGCTGGGTCTGTTTGGGGCAGTGCTACCCCATCTAGAACAAAAGATGGAAAATCTCTGGACCCAGGCAGTCCCATAGTTCACAACCACTCAGTCTTACAAGAGTTGAGTTTGAGCCTGTTTTCCCCATTCAGACATCTACCTTCTCCAGATACTAAGACAAAACCTCAATGGTATGTATCATTTGGAGAGCCCAAGGTTGAGATGTAAAATTGGGTATCATCAGCATACAGATGTTATCTAACCTTGTGCTAATAGGTGACCTAACCCAGTGGTCCCACAGAGATATTAAACAGGAGCAGGGAAAGAATCAAACCCTCACCTACCCACCCCTTCGGCTAGATCTCTCCCCCCATCAACATTGACTAGAAATAACCATCAAAGAAAGTGAATCACTGCAACACCATGCCTCTCAGTCCTAGCCTCCTGAGCATGTCCAGAAAGATACCATGGTCAGTGGTACTGAAGACCACCCAGAGATCAAGGAGGGCCAGGATGGATGCACCACCTCCATCTCAGTCCCACCATATGTCATCCACAAGAGCAACCAATGTGGCCCCTATACTCTGTCCAGGGGTGAAACCTGACTGATAGAGATCAAGATAATCCACTTCATCCAAGACATTTTGGAACTGCAGCTTGACCACCTTTTCAACAATCTTCCCTAAGAAAAGAATGTTGGAGACAGCTCAGAAATTATCCAGCATGGTTGGGTTGAGCAATGGCTTCTCGAGACTGGAGATGACCACTACCGCCTCAAGTACAGGCAGGGCCACTCCCTCTCTCAAGAAAAATCCACCGCCACTTGGACCCAGCCATGCTACCTTCCTGGAGGCCTTAACTAACCAAGATAGGCAATCTAAAATGAGATGGACCCACTCACACTCCAAGGACCCTGCCCACTTCCTCGGGGCCAACAGGATCAAATTCTTCCCAGATAACTATGTCAGATCTTGAATCTAGCCAACTCTGCAAGATCTGTATAACTAGAGTCCAACTCCAATTGCATCCCAGTGATTTTAACTGACAGGCTTCATAAAAAAATTCTCAAAACAGCTCTGCAGGTGATCTTCCAGACTGGTCCTCCCCAGCAAGATGCAAGTCATCTTGAAAAGAGTCAGTGGATGCAATAAGAGCAACAAAACAATTATTTTTTTGGTATAAACTCTAACAAAGACTCCTGTGTCTGGTCATATTTGCTCTTCTTTTTTTCTCCAGCATCACTCTAGGCATTTCTTCTGATTCATCTCCCAGAGTCCCTCTGAAACCTGAGGACCCACAGGGATCCATGAACAAAGAGAGGCCATGCAGGACCAATCCAGCTTAAGGTTGTCACCATTCTCTTTTTCCAAGTTGTGACTAAGACCTTAGCCAAACTGTACACTAGATCCTCAGGAATTCCACCAAGTGTTCTCTGAAACCTAACTGTAGAGAGTAGGGAAGGTGATCTTGACAGAGATAGGCCAGATCTGTTACTAATGCAACAAGGGCAAAAAACATGAGTCACAGTATGCAAGAGCAGCTCAGGCAGACACCTCCCTAATTCACATGGTTGGGGGGCTAGTAAAGGACAATCAGATTTGCAAGATTCTGTTATGACAGCTGATATCAAAAGTAGTGTTAGCCGTCATGTAGAGTTGATTTCTTGGTTTGGTCTACACAGTGTGGCTGACATCAATCACCAATAAAGTATCTGACTATACTTTATTCCCCACTGTGGTAACAAATCTGGCTTACCTCTGTCAATCAAGGCCATCTTCCTTACTCTTTACACCAACTGGGTCTGTTAGGTGAACAGGTCCTACTTCCCTGCATTGGGGAATGGAGATGGAGAACTCCAAAGCAATCAAAGAGTGACCTGTCCATGACAAGGACAGAAACATTCCCCAATTCCAGATCACATTGCCAATGCCAGATCAAAAACCAGATCTAATGTGTGATCCTGCAGTGTGTTGGGCCCTCATGACTTGGGCCAGGTCCATAATGGCCATGAACTTCTGAGCCACTCCAGACTTAGTGCCCAAGGATGGTAGACTGAAGTCTCGCAGGAGCATAAGCCTGGGAAATTCCATCACCAAGCTTGCAACCAAACTGAATAGCTCAGGCAGGGATGCTGCTAGGAAAACCAGTACAGAAGCAGCAATCCTATCTATTCCCTAGAGTCCAGCCTCATAAATAAGAGCTCACATTGGGTTATCTGCAGGGCAGTGCCTCTGAAAGGCATAACAATCTCCCAGATAATAACAGCCACTCCCCCATCTCTGCCCAGGGATCACAGCTGGTGACACACTCAAAACCCAGGACGGCTTTCCAAAAGGAGAAGCCTTGTTCCATACCCCCCTGCTACAAAGGTTTTGGTAATTCAATTTTTGAAAATAGTTTTCCACTAGTCAGTACATTTTTATGCTAACATTTTCCTAAAAAAATGGATGCACAAACTTTTCCATAACATACATATTTTATATGCATTTTGGAGCTACAAATATCACTATAAATTTGGGAAAGGTATAAATATCTCTATAAAATTAAGTTTAATTTATATATAGATTTGAGCACTGTAAATCAGATAATTTCACATTAAAATGCAAACTGAATTTTTCCTCCATCTCTACTCCTAACTGCATATAAAAACAGGAATAAAAAAGAGTGGCTGACATCCTAGTTATTCTGTTCACATGCCATTATCAGATCTCAAATATGTACGAAATACACAATGCTTGCCTATTCCATTTGTCAAAGAAAAATAAAGCATACAGGAAGAAAACCACAAAAGATACAAATAAGAACATGTTATATTCTATACTCAGTACAGAAGCAATATTTTTAAGGATGACAACCGAGTTAGCATGCAAACAAAGAGATGTGCTACAGGCTGCCTTTCAATGTTGAGTATGATGCGAGAGCACCCTCTTCAAGCTCTATAGTACACCAATATATCTTGGCTCTTCTCTGACTAAATGTACTAAGCTATTTATTTAAGGCAAACTTTTAATAGGTCAAGAAGACCATACAGCCACATGCAGCCCTCGAGACCCCTTTCATGGCTCCAGACACAAAAGCCTGACTACAGTGTTAAAATCAATGTCCCAGATTCTTGACATTTTAAAGCCAGAAAAAACTCTAGTGTAATCCATAACACAGCCTTAACCCAATTTTAAAAAGACAGAAAAAAATATCACCTACCCCTCAGAAAAAGGCTACAGGAATTCAGATTACTGGGTACAACTCTTCATCGCAGGAAGAGAGTCTGTGTGGTAAAAAAACAGAAGGAGTCTTGTAGCACCTTTTCCGACTGACAAATTTTATTAAAAGCACAAACTTTTATGAGTTGCATCTTGCTTCATCAGATGCATAGAGTGGCTACACTAATGTAGAATTTAAATTGGTGTGAGGTGGGGGGGAACAAAGCGGAAGACACATTGATTATACAAGTATAGATTACATGTGTACAGATTACAAGTACTTTATCAAAACAACTGTAACCATCTTTAGTGTGATTAACAATGGTCAAATATGATGTGCATGCATAACTTGGTACACAATGTAAAACTCCTATGGCAACAACTTCAGAGAAAGGCTGAAATGATGGGTGTGCTGAATTTTCATGAAACTCATTCACTATAACTGACATTCTAATTGAGATGGTCTTGATCAGCTTCCAATGAACTACAGTTTCCCCCATTGGGCTAGATGTTTATTAAGAAATTCTTCTAGGTATTTCTGAGATGAGAAGCCACAAACTGTTGCATATGCAGTTAAATGTTTGCATGTGTGGTGTTGATTACTGCTGATGAATGTCTGCCTAGAAAAAAAATTCTGGTCATATATTCATCAACAATAATCAGAAGAATTTACTGATTCAGACATTTAATGATGGACTTTAATATGTGCAATGTTTCTCTTAGATATGTCTAAAAGAAATTTCTATACTGTTATCAGTATACGCTCAAATACTCTGAATCTTGTTAGAAATATATGAATCCTGAAATAGTGTCTGTAGCAACATTTTGAAATTTCTCCAGGAACAAATGTTTGATCCTCATGATTAGTTTGTCAAGGCAATAGAAATATTACAATGTAGGAATGATTTAGCAACAATTTCAGCAGTGTATAAAATGTTTGACAAAGTTTAACTTTGACCAGGTTATATCCTAAGTTTTCATAAGCAATTACTATAAAGCATGTGACAAGACTGACACCATAATAAAGCCTAATCTTTATTCAATTTTGAAGGGCTGCCATGTGTTGCAAACTATTTAAGAATATCATCTGAATTTTATAGATGTATGTGACATCTAGAATGTACCTATAGTTTAGTATTTAGCCCAGCAAGTGATTGTATGTTTCTGTTGAATAGTGCTGTATCTTTATATTTGTAAATTGCCTCTCAGCAATGTCTGCTGAGCCACACACACACTTTAGTTAACAGTCAAAGAATTGAGCATACCTCTAATATACTCATTCCCTTCATCATAATGTCCATTGTTTTTCTAATACATTTAGAATAAGCACTAAATAAAAATGTTCACTGGGTATGAAATATACCAAAGATATTCACAGAATGTGATCCTAGTGAATTCTGATAGAACCTGATTCACACCACTCAGTATAATGTGCAGCTAGAAACTTAAATTATCTACCAGCTTGCACATTTTCAATTTCCCAATTCAAGACTTGCTTAATAGAGATATTAAGATGCATCTAGGAAATATGTACTTTTGATGAAAATGCAGTTTCTCTCATTATTTAGAAGATTTTTTTGGTGGGGAGGTGGATTAAAAAAGTCACAGATCAGTAGAGGCACATGATGAAATGGAGTACATGTGAAACTGACATAAACTGGAGATAAGAGCAATACCCTTGTACCTAGATGGCACCCCAAATGGGCAGCATCTGATAGAAAAAAAAATTCACCCACCTATTCTTCCCACCCCTATACATTAGAGCAATTCTAATACAACTCATAAAAATAAAATATTCCTAATTATTTCAGCTTTAGCTAGCAAGTATGCAAGACAAAGGCGAGATTGATGTAGTGTATCTCACAATGGCCCTACTGATTTCTCCACTAACCCTTCCTCTGCACATGGTCAATTAGCATTGAAAATCCTGTGCTGATTTCATTCGCTGGAATTTTTAAGCAGGTCAGAAGAAAGATGTTATTGAAAGGAAAACTCTCATCTAAATAAGAAAAGAGCACGTGGCCATCTGGTTCAGTTCTACCATACAGAAATGTCACTGAACTCAGACACAGTCCTCATCGCCCTCCCTTTGAAATAGCTGACAAAGAACCACAGAGAAATATGTATACATTGAGGTTCCCCTTAACATTTTTTTAATCTTACCAAATGCATTGTGCAGCTCATTTTCTTTCTACAGAAATGTTAGTTTCTATAGCTGCGTAAGACAAGTTCACCTCTTCATGTTGTTTCCTGAGCTAGATTTGCATTTTGCTGATAAAGATGGTGGCAGTCTGAGCAGACTTTCGAACATTCTAAAATTGCAGAGGTACCTCTACCCATAGTGGTAAGGACAGCTTCTTGGCATAATCACTTTTGACAGGTAAAAGACTTCTTCATTGAAAACATGAAAACTGATTAGTGTAAATCATAGTACAACAGACCTTAAGGCATTCTAGGAAGCAACAATCCACGTGATACTAGACTTTCATTTCTGTCTAGTACCTAAACTCACAAACACATTTTCTCTACATTCCCAGGAGGCATGTGAATCAGTTTGCCTTTCTACCCAATCACTTCTCTCCCTTTCTGAAGCAAATCTGCACTTTTACCCCTATATGTCAGTGTTAATTTTCTTTCAGACGAAGCTAAATTCAATTGTTTCTTGATCCCAGGACCCAGCAATTTGTCTCTATAATCCTCCCTTGCCCATTTTTTAACAGCTGCATAACCACAGAATTTATTGAAGAAGGAAGAACAATGCTATAAGAAGAAACTACAAGCACAGAGAAGAAATTACAAGCACAAAGTAAATGCACTGATGGACAAAGCTGATATGTGACAAGACCGTTTGATAATACTTATTATATGAACCCTTTTGTAAAAGGGGAGTGCAATGTGTGTGCATATGTGTATGTGTAAATGTTGTACAGCTTTTTTCCTTAGTTGTTGCTGTTGCAGTTGTACAAAACAGAGCAACCTAGGTTCAGTCTAAAGAGGGAAACTCCTGGGTGGAAGTGTAATTATTTTCAACTAAAAATACCCTGAGTACTTTTCTCAAATATGATGGGGGAGAAGGGAAAGAAAAGCTACCAAAAGGTAAAAAGGTAAAGATGCCCTCAAGTCAGTTTTGCTCCTGGTAATTGCAACCATGAAAGCGTTACAGGATGTTTTGCCCCAGAATCTTCCCAGAAGATTAATGAACCTCTTCATTCACCAATTCTGCTGCTCTTTCACTCCAGCTGTAACCTCTATGCAGGTCAGGCTGCTCTATGAATCCATCTTTAATATTTTGATTGTCAGCTGTCTCCAATGTGATGTGCTTTTAATAATTTCAGTTGTATTTTTTAATGTTTTTAACCTCTGTTAACTGCTTAGTCATATGACGGCAGGTGGGGGTGGGGAGAAGCATATAAATTGAAATAATACATAAAATAAACATTTTAAAAATGGGTGGTTTTTTCCCCATTAAATTTATATTCTGGCTTTTCTAAAGGAGCTCAAGACAGCACACAACCCTGTGAAATATATTGAGCTGAAAGAAAATAATGGCCCAAAGTCACCCAGTGAACTTCCATGGCTGGGATCTGAACCTGAGTCTCCATGGTCCTAGTGAAACAACTTTTAAAAAAACAAATAATATGCAGCTGAACATTTCATGTAATTTACCCATTATGTTTAGCAATCACAGCATGGCAGGAATTTTTTTCCACAGGATGTTGAGTACAGTTACCAAAGCCATATTCTAAAGACTTTCTTTCTCACCAGTTTGCCAAATCAAAGTACTTACAGTTTTGTAAGAGTTTTAATAACTCTTAATCTCATATGTGGAGGAGAGACAAGAAATCAATCAGCGTTCTAATCACCACTAGTTACAGGAGGACAAGTTCAGTGCTCCTCTCAAAGAACTGAAACCCTAAATCTTGCTGAAAGTACCTTTCCAATTATGTGGTTTGTGTTTGCTTGCTAACATACCACCGAAGAGAAGTATTCTTACAATTCTAATTATTTCCTATATCTGTAATTTCTACTCTAGGCAATTACTGAAAGCTAGCCAAGATCCAATTGCTGGATTCATTTAAGGATGATAGTTACCTCAACTGAGAGATGAAGCAGATTTCTGATCTCCATTTGCAAATACTGATGGCAGTATTAGAAAGAGAAGATGGCCTCACTAGCATGTAGCATGTCTATTGTCGCCTTTTGAAAATCCCAGGATGGTCTAACTTGGGCTCTTTTTCTGTCCTTTCTTCTTTTCATGTAGTGACCTGATGACCAGATAGAGTTCTAATGGTTATTATCAGGGAGGAGTTCTGATGGCTATAATGTAGGAGACTATAGCCTAAAATCTACATATTGGGAAAAGAAGTTGGGAAAGCTTTATCAACCTCTAAAATGGTTGCCAAATTTACACCATTATGAGGTCTGAGAGCTGATTCAGATTTTGCGGTCAGAACTTTGGTACATCAGCTGGAATAATTGTCCATGCTTTTAATGTCAGTAGCAGAAATATTCATCTGTAAAGATGCAGTGTAAGAAGGCCACATTCAACCTCAATTTCCAGTCTATGCCTACTGTAGCTTTTGCCAGCCTGGTAACCTCCAGGTGTGTTGGAATTACAACTCACAGAATTCCAAGGCAGCATTGAAATTGCAGTGTCAATTCCTTGAAAGTGTCCCCACACAACTGGTGGGTACCATAATTATAACTATTTACAAATGTTCAACACTTGATGACGCTACTGCTAAAAATACTGATGTCTGTCCATACAGGAAGCAAGTGTGCTGATTTGATTCTAACGAAGAAAAACAGAAGTTGGCATATTAGGAAGATATGGCAGCACGTGCAGACACACAATAGAGTACATACTATTAGTACAGCGTCATTTTTCAGATGACAGAAATATATTTTCAAACTGAGAAGTGGAAAACTGCCTAAACTACAGTTGGTATTTCATGTTGCCAGATTTTGTACCAGAATACCAGAAACAAAAAAGTTCTTCTGAGCCACTGTGAACTCCTTAATATTTCTTAGAAATGTGGATTTTTTAAACTTAAAAGCTTAGATTAAATGAATATATGAAGGTGTACACAAAGCTAGTGATTGAATTATTACATTTTTCAAGACAGTAGAAAATAAATGAAAGCAACAGACATTTAAACTGAATAGAATTATTTGATCCTTGATAGCTTTATTAAAGTACAGGACATTAATACATATATTAAAGCAATACAGAAAGATTTTTATGGAAAAGGGTTTTTTAATGACTGAATTACTCAAGTGCATATGATTACTCGCCTTGAGAATAATCTCAGTAAAAACTTTTCAAATCATAACTGCTAATATAGATATAATATACAACTTCATTTCTATGCATATCTACAAGGAAGAGTTCTGTGGAGGACAGTGGGCCTAGGTAAAAATGTGCACAGCTGTACTATGCATGTCAAAATCTCCTTTTAGGTAACATGCCAGAATTATTGCCTTTGAAGCCCATCACCAACTTCATCAATCAGTATATTAAATCAATTCAGTGGGATCTGACTGCTGCGTGAAACAAATATAGTTGTATTTCCAGGGTGCATAAACATTCATATTGGTTACATAGGACATGCAGATGTTTGCTCCTATTAAGCCTTAGTGGCTGATGTATGTTCTATTTGTGAACAATTACAGAGGCTATGTATGTTGTATTTTGTTTCCTATTCTAGGATTATCTCACGACTAGTTAGGGAAGTTTTGGAAACAATTTGGGAAGCAATTTTTTACTTTTTCAGATCACAGGTTCACTTAAAATACTTCAATTCCCACAGAAATCTGGTAGTGAAAGTCTCGCTACAGATAGAATTTTAAACCAATTTCTAATTATAGAATCATATTTAGTTGGTATGGAAAATGTATCTGTGTATTTTACTGAAAAAAAGGATAAGTTCATCTTTTAAGAGGCCATAACTTCCTATATGTTTTTGAACAAAAACCAACTGAAGTGTGTTAAGTGGTAATTAACCTAAATCAATAATAATGAAAACAAAAGTAGGAGTTACTATTTTCTTTGGAATCAGTAATGCCAGAATGATTGTATTCTCATGAACAGCCTTAAGAGTCTTATATAGTGAACAATTGCACTGGAGTAACTTTAATGCCTTTACCGTTAGTAAAGAGGTTCTAAACGTTTTCTTTTAAAAATAAATTTCAGACACATGCAAAACTGGACTCTAGTCCACAAAATCGTAATAAATCTGTCACAGTTGAAGGCACCACAAAACTTTTTTACCTGCAACAGACTAACATAGTTACCATGCATATATATTGCAATACACAGCAGCAACATTATTCCTCTGCTTTAGAGAGACATTTCCAGAAAATATTTGTTACACCTATCAGTTTGTACATTAATAGATGTAAGTTTGCCAGAATATTATTTGGAGAATGACATTACATTTATTTCATACTTCTTTTACAGGGGCAGGAAAACATTTAATTTGATTTAATTGAATTTAACCCTATAAGGTTGTATCAAAAACAAATCCCACAAAGAGATAATGGACTAGTTTGAATAAACCTAAATATACAGCATAATGATCAAATCTGTAACTCTTTAAAATTATTAATTAAAATAATTAATAATAAATTATTTATTTTATATATAAAATAAAAAATAAAAAATAATTAAGATTATTTTGATTGGGGAGGGCATTCTCCTTCATTGTACCCATTCTTTAGCAAAGGTTTGCTATAAATTCATTATAAGATGTATTATAAGATACATTATATCTACTGGTCTATTTTTACAATACATATTTACTGATTATGCTTTTTTTTTTGGCATCTTGTAGAAAACTGGCTTTGAATGAAAAATGTGTTATTCTCTTTGTTCCAACACTCTTCTCTGACAAATGTATAAATCTTTTGATATCTCTTGAAATTTGGCTAGTTAGAGGAGTGTAAAACTCTTCTTGAAATATTTTTTGAGTTTTAGCGAAACACTGTTAACTTCCTGAAACACTGCTACAGGTATTTATTTTGTTTGCACAGGACCCTGTAAAGTCTTCTTTGAATCAAGCAAAATTAGATGACAAATTTAGCTAAAATAAACTGCTCTGAATAGTTCTTGCCTTTTAAAGTTCTGGACCCTTACCAGAGAGAAGCACTACTACATCGCTGGAGTTACTTTCAAGAATGCTTGAGTAGGTGTACACAGTTAAACCCATCCACATATTATTAAATACAATTTCATGTTAAGAAGGGAGCATCAACATTTTGCCCCAAAGTCAAATTTCATGACATTGTTGGCATACAGCCAAGCAGTGTTTCTTTCAGACACCATCAACCAATGAAAATAACAGCTGACTTCACAAGGCTTCAAACTTCTTGCAACTGTGTTGAAAAATATGTTCCTAAATTCTCCTGACATTTTTGTCTCTAATATCCTAGTATTATAGCAGAATATAACACATGTAAAACACATATGAACAATTTTTCAATATGGTACACATATTTTCTGTAAACAATCTGTGTGGATTCTCTCACAAAATATTACGGTATGTGTACAAGGCACACAAAAACTAAAGCAAATTGTAAGCATTCAAACATGGAATGGGGTAGCAGACAGTGAACCCATGCAAGCACTAGTCATAGACCATATGTGGGTACGCACAGAGGAGCTACTTTCAAATGTATGTGAGAGAAAAAAATACATGTGCTAAAACTGATCCCTGACCAGCTAGAGAAAGGGGATATTGTTTGGTTTGGTCTTGCCACAAAATGGGCAAGACTCCCACCCTTCTTCTGCACGCAGTTGAAGAATAAGCTTGGCGTGCATTGCGTGCAGGCTCCTCAACTAGA